GGCTGCAGTGTCTCTCCCCTCAGCCTTCCGCTTCCCAGAATTCTCCTCTCTCCTTGTCCCACCTACTTCCTGCCTGGCCACTTGCCAACCAGTGTTTTATTTATATATAGAGCAATATCCACAGCAGTTTGTTTTGTGTTTATCTTCAACTTCTGGCTTTGCAATATCAAAAAAACTCACCAAAGAGGAACCCCACCCCACTCCAGAAGTGGATACAAAAATTAACTGGCAATGAATTACTGCTGGTGTATAATTCGGTATTCTTAGGTATATATATGTTGTTTACAACTTTTAAAGATTTTTTTTTTAATTTTCATATTTTTAGATTTATTTATGTATGAGCGCTTCCCCTGTATGTATTTTAGGTGTTCCACCTGCATGTCTCATACCCATGGAGGCCAGTAAAGGGGGTCAGATCCCATGGAAATTGAGTTATGGATGTTTGTGAATCATCATGTGGGTGCTGGGACTCAAAAGCAGCATGTGATCTAAACATGCTAAGCCATCTCTCTGGCCCCAAGATTTATTTTATGTTTAATTATGAATGTGTGTCTGTGTGGGGTCCTGCCCTACCTGGAACTGAGGTCACCTGTGAAGAGGTGGCCTGGAACCCAGAGGTGGGTTCCCCAGCATCCCTCTTACCCACCTGGAGACAATCAGACACAGGTCGCAGCAGGTGTCCAGTCAAGCTCGAACTCATTTATTGTTAGGCGGTAAGACCCTTTTATAGCAAAACCTCAGAACCCTAGGAGGGGGTAAAGGAACCAACCAATCATTTTAAAGGTCACCCTATACTCATTCTTGTTTCCGAGTTGTTTATGCCCTGACATCTTAGTGTCTTACCAGCATAAACAACTTGAGCTAACTTCCTTCCTCACTATTTGTATCTAATCTCCATACAAACAACCCAAACTAACTTCCTCTCAGCATGTCCTTGTATCTACTCTCTGCATAAACAGCTTAAACTAACTGCCTCTGGCACCATTTGTATCTACTCTCTGTGTAAACAGCTTAAAGCTTAAGCTCTATTTGTCTAACTTTCTCTGGGCACCCTCTTTGCAACCCATGTATGCCCCACATGTCTGTGCATGTGAATTCAGGTGCCAGCGGAGGCCAGAGACATCTCATCTGATACCTTAGAGGTAGAGTTATAGATGATTGTGAGCCACAAAGCACAGATGCCTTGGGTCCTCTAGAAGAGCAGTATGTTCTTTAACAGCTAAGCCATCTCTCCAGCCCTTGTGTCTGTTGCTGGTTGCCCACCAGATCTAGTTGGTAAGATTCTGTTACTGGAGAAATCACATGCCTAAGTCAGACGGGAACTGAACTGGAAGCTTACTCTGGGTTGGTTAGCTTTCATAGCCCCAGAGGGTGCTACAGGCTGCTAGAGAAGTCATCAACTTTCTTGCCTCACTAGGGACCTTGTGCTACCCTTCTGACCTCCCAGGCAAGATGTGCCCACTTGTGCAATAGTAGCAAGCTGCAAAGTGGGTAGCCAGCCTCTTTCTGATTTGAGTTGAGGACAGAATCCATGCCTGGCACGGTAGACCTAGACAAAAGTCTGTGGCCGGGGAGATCATATTCCCTGGTGGGGAAGCTACTATTCTTTTGCTCAATAGATAAGTTGTGCATATCAAACAGCCTCCCAAATACTGATGTTTCTACCCATAGATTAGTACTGCTTTCAGTTCTGGTCAAAGAAGCTTCATTTTGCAGTAGCAGTGGCTCATACAGGGACTCCTAACTGCTCAAGGTGCTGAGAACAAGTGACTTCAATGTTCAGCCCTAAATGGGATATCCATATCACTCATTGGGGCTGGAGAGATGGCTCAGCCGTTAAAGGCTAGGCTCACAACCATATCACTCATTGGCTCAGGGAACGTCACAGGAGGGGTGTGGGAGAATCTAAGAGCCAGCAGGGCAGGAGTGCTGTGGAACATTGTCCCCCTGGCTTGACATGGTCATCACAGTCATGACTCACTAGTAACTATGACCACCTACACAAGACCTGTTCAAGACAGTACCGGTCTTGACATTATTGTGAACATGGCAAAGGGCTCTTGAGGCCCCACTCTGCCCTGAGGCGCTATGGGCAGTTAATGGTTGCTGGGGAGAGGGGGTATTTTCTTTAGTGGTACAGCAACTGGTAAGTCACCCACTCATGCTCCTGTAAATAACCCCTCACCTATGCTCAGGTGCTCAACCCTAATCAAACTCCTAGAGCTGTATTCCCACTCTTTTGATTAGCATGCATTAACTGTGGATACCGGTTACATTTTATTTTCATATGTTTATAATGTATTTTGACCAAACCCACTTACCATAACCTTTTGTCCCCTTCCCCCTCCTTTGGATCCCATTCTTCACATCAGTCTCCCTTCTACTTCCACATCTGTGTGTGTGTGTGTGTGTGTGTGTGTGTGTGTGTGTGTGTGTGTGTGTGTGTTTCATTATGGATGCTTACATGTGAGCATGGGTGAGGAGCATGACAGCCGGAACTTGGAAGCAACTAGTGATATATTATATCCTTCATCAGAAAGCAGAGCACGAGTGATCAAGGATACTAGTGCTCAACTTGATTTCAGTTTTTATTCAGTCCAAGACACCAGCCCATGAAAAGGGGGTGCCCACAATTTAGGTGGGTCTTCCTACTTCTATTAACATAGAGGCATGCCCAACGACTATCGTCAGGTTGACAATATTAGTAGACACCACACTATTTACCCAAACATAATTGATGAAATCTCCGTTCTGTCCTTTGTCATCTTTGACTGGCACATCAGGTGGTTGAGCCTGGCATGTTGGGACTTAGTGCCAGGACTCTGGTCCTAAACTCCAGCAACAGATATTTAATTTTTTTTATTTTAGAAGACTTGTTTCATATGAATAAATGTTTTGCCTACATGCATGTTTGTGCATCACATGTGTGCCTCCTAGGATCCCCCAGAACTGAGATTATGAGTTGTGAACCACCATATGGGTGGCTGGGGATCGAAGCCAGGCCTCTGCAAGAGCAACTAGAGTTCTTAACTACCGAGCCATCTCACCACCCTCAGTAACATATTTAAATGTAGGACTGCTGAGTGGTAATTTTATTTTTTATTTAATTCTGTATTTTGTAACAGGGTCTTACTAGGTAGGCCCCAACAGGCTCGCATGACATAGTCCCTCCCCCTCAGCCTCCCAGGGCTGGGACTGCAGGCAGATGCCAACACACCTGGCTCGCATTTTAACTTGGTGGGAACTGCCAACCTCTCTATAGAGCATTTTATGATCACAAGTGTGCCCAAGGAAAATGTCCTGCATCCTCAACTGTGTTTGAATCCTTTTGTGGAGGTAGGGGGAGATAATAGTGTCTTGTTTTGTTGCCCAGGCTGACCTCAAACTCTTTTTTTTTTTTTGAAGCATTTTTATTTTATTTTATTTTATTTTATTTTATTTTATTTTATTTTATTTTATTTTATTTTATTTTATTTTATTTTACAATACCATTCAGTTCTACATATCAGCCACAGGTTCCCCTATTCTCCCCCCTCCCACCCCCTCCCCTTACCCCCAGCCCACCCCCCATTCCCACCTCCTCCAGGGCAAATCCTCCCCTGAGGACTGCGAGCAACCTGGTAGACTCAGTCCAGGCATGACCTCAAATTCTTGCACTGCCTCCCAAGTGGCTAAGCATACAGGAATGGAATTGCCTCCAGAGAGAATCTTTTCATGCTCTTCTTTGATGAATGACTATTCAAATCCCTTACTTCCTAATCAGGATTTTTGCTTGGCTGGTTTTGAAAGTTGTTTCAATTTAGTAATCTTCTGTTTGTGTGTCTGGGACAGGGTCTTTATCACAACTCAGGAAGGCCTGAGATTTACTATGTAGCCCAGGCTGGCCTTGAACTTGTGGCAATTCTCCTGCCTCAGCCTCCTAACTGCCATGTCCAGATAAATAGATATAAATAAATAAAGTGTATACATGTGTGTGTTTGTGTGTTTGTTTGTTTGTTTGTTTGTTTGTTTTTGGAGACGGGGTTTCTCTGCCCAGCCTTTGCTGTCCTGGAACTCAGATATCTATCCTCCTGCCTCTCCCTTCTGAGTGCTGGAATTAAAGGAATGCACCACCACCACTGCCTAACTATAATTATACCTTCTTAAAGATTTGTGAATGTTTTCTCATGTTTTATAGGCTTCCTTTCACTGTTTACTATATATTTTGGGCTTACAA